CTCCACGGCGCTTCGCGGACAGATGCTGAGCTGCAGTACAGACACAACCAGCTGCAAGGGAAGCCGGGGCTGGAAGCAGCATGTGTCCGAGGAGTGGGTTTCTTCCAGAGCAGGGGGACATTGTGCTTTTCTGTGGGCTTTCGAGACAAAGCCCTCAGAGGTCCTCACAATCCTGCCTGAAAGGCCCTGTGGCATGCTTGACCTCCACTGGGTAATCCAAGAAGGCAGGAGGTTGGAAAAGGCTGCACAGGAGATAGTCTCCCTTGCTCTAATCTTGCCTCGGTTGAATGAGAACATTTTCCTTCTGTGAACCCCTCTCCGTGACGGGGCTGGGATGTGACCCCAGGGCTCCTGGTGGCCTGGCAGTGCCCACTCCTGGGTGCTGCACCGGGCTTTGTGCTCACCATCCCACCTCTGACGGGGACACACGGAGCGTTTCAGGGAATGGCTGTCACACCAGGGTGTGTCCTGCAGAGGTCTGGGCAGTGTTTTGACAGCCAGACTCCTCCCCATCTCTCCCAAGAATGCTCTTGAGAACAGTGTGGGGGCTCGCCAGCCAAGGGGGTGTCAGCTGGGTTTTTGGGTAACTTGCAGCAGCCCAGATGTCCCAGCCCTGTGTCAAGAGCACTACAGACCCTGAAGATGAAGGTTCATTTTCCCAAGGATATGAAGCCGTGGCCCCTCCTGCATGGTCAGTAAACTTAAATAAATCTCCTCACCAGAGTTCAGCTGGGAGCCAGAAACCAAAGGTTGCCTGGCCAAGCTGCTGTACCAGCCAGGTTCTCATCTCCTTCTGGCCTGGTTGGGCTCAAAATAATGAGGTCAGAAAAGGGGTCCTGGGTCACTGCTCTCAGATGGGCAGAGCACCCTGGGCCCCTGCAGGTGGACCTGCTGGACTCTCTCCATTTCAGTGCCAGACGAATGATGGCTGGGGACAAGATGCCACTGGGGATTGAGCAGGAAGGTGCCTTTGCTGGATTCCATGCTGAAGGCATTGCCCTGGCGCTGCTGAGGGACTGTGTCTTTCAACAATGCTCAGCTCTGACGGGCTGTGCAATCAAACCCTCATCCCTGCCCAGGCCATGTCCCTTTGCAGCCTCATCGTGCTGATCATGGTGAAAAGAGGAAGAATGGACAGGGTTCCCTGGGATCACAGCTGAAAAATTCCCTGCTCACAGATCAAACTGAGCTGTTGTCCCCTGAGCAGCGCCCTCCTTACACCTCCTTTCCCAAGTACCTCTCTCTGCTCTTCTCAAGCCCAGCTCCTTCCCTTGCTCCCTACACCCAGGTCCTTGTCCCCAGGCACGCTGTCCTCACTCCCTCCTGGAGCCACATCAACAGGGTGATGCTGGCAGTGACATGGGGTCCTCCAGAATGGGGGGGATGAGTCCCCCTGCCCCTTGCACGTGGCCACCAATCCAACCTCACACAGGGTTCATTTGGGAAGTGGTAGGATGTGATTTGGACAGTGACACAGGGCCGGTTCTTTCTTTGATCCCATCTCTCCCTCCTCACTCCCAAATGATCTGAGAGAAATGAAAGACATTTTAGTAGTCAAATCCATAAGGGTGAGTCCCACTGTGCTTTGACCTTACAGGGCATTTTGTACATTTAATTTGATTTACACCCAAAATATTAATTTAACATGCTAGATTTTCTCCCACACCCAGGTAATGCTGAAAATTATACAAGATCCTGCAGAAATGTTTGTGCCATTACCTCATTAGCATAATTATTTATCAAATTTAATTACAATGATGAAGCAGTACATGCAGTGTTGCTCTAGTGGGAGCACGGAGAAGGACATGGACATGCAGTGATAAGCCTGTGGGCAGCCTTGCTGAAGACAAGGATCCCCAAAGATCCCATTTTGTGGTGCTGCATGTGCCTCCCTGCAATGTTGTTGGTGGGGTCATGCTTTGAGCACGCTCCTCAGGCTCCTCCAGGTTAGAAAATACCAAGAAAAGGTATTTGTAGGAAAGGCAGTATGGTTTTCCTATGGGCTCTGGCCAGGCAACACCAACCATCAACAGTCTGCATTTACACCTGGTGTCTCAGTGACTAGGCAGCCCACTACCACTGGAATGCTCTCCTCGTGGAACTGGTGCCTCTACACCCAGCTCATCCTGCCTTGCCAGAGGCTACAGGACTTTCTCTCCACTCTGTGTCTCCTGTGGTGCTGGGCACACCTCAGCCCTGACCACTCGTGTCAAGGCTCCATAGCTGATGATGATATTATATTTATTTATTTTATTATTTATTATTATTATCGTTGCTATTATTGTTACTGTTATTATTCCTGATTCAGCCATGCTTATAACTGCACATCTGATTTAGAGCACCCAGTGGAAGTGAAGTGTGTGCTCTGGGACCTCATTAAATGAGAACCTCAAAGCAGGATTTGAGAAAGCCCAGATGACAGTGAAGTTGTCTCAGCAAGCTCTTGGCTTGGGAGCGCTCTGATTAATGTCATTTGCTACCTCTTTTGGCTTAAACGACAAAGAGTTGTTAAAATAAAAGAAACCTCAAGCTGAAAGCACTGAAAAAAGAAATCAATTAAGCCCCACATAGCTCTATTTTATCCTGGAGCAAAATCTCAGACATAACAGAGAAATTACATAGCCTGAAAGAGAAAGAGAGGGAAGGTTTTATGTGCGGTCTCACTGAGGTATTGCCCGAAGCCATGCTGAGGTGGCTTCCCACCTGGTACCTGTGGAAACTGTAAACTCCCCACAGGAGTAGGGGGAGCAAGTAGGTGCTGGGATACCCTGGTGGAAATACAGACTGCTGAGGAGCTCTCTGACAGCACATCACCTGATGTGGGGCTGGAGCTTCGCCCTTGGGGCTCCAGAAGACTAAGGGGACATCGGCATCCAGCACAGCTCTTTCATCTGGCCGTGATATTTGAAGGCGTACTCCTTTCAGAGGCTCCAGGTCCAGTCCCTGAAGTGAAATCTTGGTCGCAGTGAAACCGACAATGAAACTGCCATCAATTCCCCCTGCTCTGTGCTCTGCCCTGTGGGAGGAAAGCGGCTCCGCCAGAGAGGAGTGACTGCGTTTGAAAGGCCTCTTCCTTCGTGTGGGGAAACAGCTCCTGGCGCTCCTTCCCGCAATGCCCCAGCCCGGTGCCGTCTGTGCCGCGGGGATGAGCTCGGGGAGGAGGCACCAAGTGCGTTTCCACCGCTCTTAATAAAAAAGTAGATTGAACAGGAAACGGGAGAAGGAATCCCTGAATGTTGTTCAACACCCAACGCCACGCCAGGCGTGGGCTCTGCTCGCAGACTTCTTGTGGGTTTTCTTCTGTTTCTTTTGCTTCCTTCCCCAATACCCTAACCTCTTGTCTTTGTTTCATTTCCACTTTGGGAAGAGGGGGAAGACGACAAGAGGCAAATAAAAGAAGAAAAAACGAGTGGGGAGAGAAATGGCTGTGACACATTTTGAATTTTAAATCAATGACTGAAAAAGAATAATTTTTTTTTTTTCCTTTCTGAACAGAAGAAAGGCTAGTCATTAAGAAAACTAATAAGAACTTTTTCTTCCTGCTGCCGCCCCGAGGACGGCTCGGCCTCTTTCCCGGCGCCTCGGCAAGTCTTCCCCTCGACAGGCAGTCCCGGGAGGGTCTCTGCTCAGCCCCCCGTGGGCGGCGGCACCCGCACTCGCTAACGGGGAGCAGCCCCGGCCCCATTCCCGGCAGGGCATCCCGGTGCGGCGGCGGAGAGAGGGGAGCGGGGCCGGCCCGGCGGGGGCTCCGCCGGCGGGCTGCGGGCAGACGGCAGCGGCGGGGCTCCTTCCTCGGTTGGGTTTTTGGTTTGGTTTGGGTTTTTCTTTTTTTTTTCTTTCTTTTTTTCTTTTTTTTTTTTTTTTTTTTTTTTTTTTTTTTTTTTTTTTTTTTTTTTTTTTTTTTTTTTTTTTTTTCAGACGTTAAATTCTTTTGCAAACATTCATGCCTTAGGAAGGGCTGGAACAAAGCTCAGCTGCTCCAACCGGTCGGACAGGTAAGCAGACTTGTTGACACCGTTATGTTTGCAGCACGCATGCTCCTTCCCAAGTTTCCTGGTGCATTTTTCTATTCCACCTTATGAAACTTTCCCCCCCCCCCCCCCACCCTCTCCCCTCTCCTCCCCTCCCCTTCCCCTCCCCGCGCCTCAGCGGCTCTGCCCGGTGCGTGCGGTCCCGCTCCCCGGACGGCAGCGCAGCGCCCGCGCCCCGTCGGGCTGCGGGCGGGCGGCGCGGCTGACGCGGCCGCTCCGCTCCGTGCCCAGCCGTGCCCCCTGCCCTCGCCATGCCCAGAGCCTTCCTGGTGAAGCGCCGGAGCCCGCAGCCGGCGGTGCGCAGCTGGGATGGGCTGCCCGACGAGGAGAGAGCCGACACCTATATCCCGGGTACGGCGCCGGCGGCCGCCGCCCCGCGACGGGCGCCGCCGGGAGGGACGGAGGGAGCGGGGTCCCCGCGGAGGGGGCGACTTGGGGAGGGGGCTCTGCCGGGCCGGGGGAGCCCCGAGGGGGACTAAGTGGCTTAAAGAGAGCTGTGCGAAACGCGGTGGAGGGGACACGGACAGCGCTCGAGGGAAAAGTCCCCGGGCAGCGGCAGGGGTGCCAGCCCCGCCGGGCCGTGCGCCCCCATGCCTGGCAGCGTCTCACACCACGGAGAGCCCCCGGGAATGGCGGGGCGGGGAGCTGGGGGGAATGTGTGTGTGTGTGTGTGTGTGTGTGTGTTACCAGGAAGGTGGGAAACCTCGTTTGCATGAGAAAGGTGGCTGGGGGAGGAGAAGGAAGGACCCAGGGAGGGGGGGGTGGGGGGTGGGGGGGTGATGCACTCCTGGCCTCCCCCTCTCCTCCTCCTCCTCCCGCTCCTCCTGCCCTTGCCCGGGGTATAACGGGAAGGCGGCGGAGCTGGCTTGTTTGAACTTTGGGACCGTTCGTGTTTGAGTTTCCGATTGCAGCGTGAGCCGGGGATCCTCCCCCGCCGCCAGCGGCCCGCCCGCAGGTTACACACCGGGCCCCGCCGGCTGCCGCCCGCCGCCTCCCTGCCCTGGCCTCCAGCGGCTCCGGGGTCCCCCCGCTTTATCGCGTCCCCACCCCGTTGCAGGCGGCATCGGCTGCGTGCTGCTGGGCTACGAAGACAGCTGCAGCCTGGAGAGCAGCGGCAGCAGCGGGACCCGGGACGCCGAGCCCAGCGACCCCCCGACGCCCCAACCTGCCCCCGGAGAGCTGGGCACGGGCGGGGGAATGCTGCTGGACCTGGCCGTCAAGCGCCCCATGGTCAGGTCAAAAATCAAGGTAACCGCCCACATCCCGACCGTCTCTTCTCTGGCAATGGGGTGACCCCTGTTCAAGGTCAAGGCCTGGCTGCTGCCTGGGGACACCAGGTGACAACAGTCCCTTGGGCTCGCTTTGCTCGTGGTGACAGCACCTGTCCTGCACACCGAGGTGGAAGCCTGCGAGGGCAGCCGGCTGTAGGATGGCAGTGGCAGGGAAAGCCTCGTAAGCGATGTGCCATAATCTTCCAGTGCCCTTTGCCTTCTCTTATCCTTGCCTGGGATGTGCTGCCCCTGACCTGCTTGGCTCGGGTCCCACAGGAGCTCTGAACCCAGCCAGGAAGGACCAGCCCTGGCAGCAAGAAGTCATGCCCCATGGTGCGTGGGTGGATCTTGTTCCTTAGCGTGGGGCCTCCTTAAAACCTGCCTTCTAGGTTGTACTCAGCCTTCACCAAGAAGGGCTGGGGTGACTCTTCACGCTGCCCCTCCCACCGTGATCTATCAAGAAAGCAGCTAAAGGTTCTCCTCCATAGCTGTGAAGGACCATTGCCACCTTGAGGTCGCCATGCGGGCTTGGGTGAGATGAAGCAATCATCTGTCCGCTGACTTTGCTGAGGAGCCTCTCTGCTGCCAGGGCAGGCACTCTGGCTGCCTGGCTGCTCCCTGGGCAGAGCCAGCAGAGCAGCACAGTGATTTCCCTACCAAGGCTGAGAAGGCAAATTGCTCACGGTGCCTCGGGTCCTTGTGGTACCGAGAATTCAACACCGAGCTGCCGCATCTCCCTCGGAGCATCCAGGGTCCTCTCAGCAGAGGTAGAACCAGGCCACCCCAGCGCTAGGCAGAAGGAGATGTGTTTACCACTGCTAGTTAACACCTCGTTAAACCCTGGCTGCTGCTTTGCTGGATGGGGCTGTAAAAATTACCATTGTTTGTGCCGGGCTGACAGCTTTTCAGTCACCGTGTTCTGAAGTCTCATGATTAGGTTTCACCCCGGTTATATGCAGCTGCTTGAGATGGAGTCATAGCCCTGTTGCCCAACAGATTCTTCCCAGATGGCTCCCCCTCCAGTTTCACACCTCATGGTTTCACAGCTGCCGATTTTTTTTTAATCTTTCTTTACAATTTCGAGTAGTGTTGCTTCAGTAGTAAGCAGAGGAGGAGGGCTGGTTTCTTCAGGAAAAAGAAACCCCAGACATATTCTTGTCCTTGTAAAAAGCCCACTCTGCTGCTGTTTGACTTCAACCTACTTTGTATAATTTAACCTGGGCTATTTGTGACTGTCACAGAAAAACCTCGTTTCAGCAGAGCTGTGTTTTTCAGCCCATGGATGTGTGCATGTGGTCCTGTCTACTCTGCTGGCTTTCCCTCATCCCTGGTGTCTAACAGGGGGCATGTCCGTGTGTTCCGCCAGGAATAATTAAACCAGCAGTGCAGTATTTACATTTTCCAGATATTAAGCCTTCCCTCTGAGGAATGATCTTCCCAGGAGCTGAATCATCAGTGTCTTCTTTAGTCAAGTTATGTCATGGTGTTGGCACCATGCTTTTGGTGCTAGGAGTGGGAATGAGATTACCCCCTAATGTGACTTGGCTGTTAATTAAGGAGCCAGGGACACCAACAGGGTAAGATTAGGGCCATTGTTTCAGTCTCTGCTGAGTCAGCACAACGTGCCTTGGGTTTATCTCTCCAAAACCACCTTTTTTATCACTGCTGGCTGGTTTTTGAGGGACCTGGAGCAGTTGGAGGCATGACTAGTGAAGGCAGCACATAAAACAACTCTCTGGCACCAGGGAAGACTTCTCTTCTCCTTTCAGGATATCAGCTGAGTGCAGGAGCAAGCACAGGAGGGTTCCCACAGAAAGGTGCTCATAGCCTAAGCCCTTGTGTTCACGGATGTAGCTGGATAAGGGTTGCTGCCCCTGGAAGGAAACCGCTACACAGAATTTGTTTTAACCCCTGAATCAAAGCTGGCCAGAGATACCTCAGTGCCAAACTGTGCACATGAAGTCTCCCACTTGATTATAAGGAGAGTGTGAAGGTTTCACCCAGCAGGAAAATCTTGAACGCTTTCACTTTTGATTTTTAATATATCCCCCCATTTTTTTTTTAATGCCACAATAAGCCCTGCTTGTTTTGCTTTATTTCTTCTGTTGGCTCATGCCAATGCTCACAAAGTCCTCTCCCACTTCTCAGTTCACCACTGGCACCTGCAACGATGCTGCCCTGCATAGCTGCGAGCTGTGTGGCAAAGGCTTTCGCCTGCAGAGGATGCTCAACCGTCACATCAAGTGCCACAGCCAGGTGAAGAGACACTTGTGCACCTTCTGTGGAAAAGGCTTCAACGACACCTTTGATCTGAAAAGGCATGTCCGGACCCATACTGGTGAGAATGCCTTCCCCGGGGACCCGCGGAGGGGAGAAGGGGTGGGGTGGAGCAAGGACAAAGAGAGGGTGAGGGTAACCTGGCAACATCATAACATGAAGCCTTGGTTAACATTTGCCAAAAATAGTGGGGAAGCAGCAGAGAAAAGGGGAAGATGTGCCTGTGGACAGAGAAAAGGCTTGGGAAGGTTGAAATCTGAGGAGAACTATTGCAACCGGTGGGAAGCAGTGACGGTGCAGGACTTGCCATCCACACCTTGTGTAGCCATGGCCCCGTGCTGCCACGCCTGGGGCATTGAGGCTGGGATAACCCCCCAGGATAACCTGCCTGGGATAACCCCCCCCCAGGATAACCTGCCTGGGATTACCACCCCGGACAGCAAATCTCTGCAGTTATCTGAGTGCAGGCGGGAGCTCGATGGAGACGCTTTGCCCTCTAGAGGCAACCAGCAGCAGCAGTTTCCTGGGGCTTTGCTGTGGAGAGCTTTCCCAGCTGATTGCTGTGCAGGATGGGATTCAGGCTTGATTTTGGAAATGTCTGGAGGAAGCAGAGTGTGGTTCATACTGTGCCTCCACCAGGCTGGAGGATGTGCTGTCTGTGACCTCTCTGCTGTGGGGCCAGTTCCTGAGTCCATCCCAAATTGCAGAGATTGTGTTTCTGTTGCCTCAAATCCAGCTCACTTTTCCCAGAAGTTCTTACATCAGCCTGGAGCAGGGAGAAGGCTGCCAGTTTGGCTTTTATTTTTTCCCTTGGTGGAAGCAATGGCTTAAATAAACATCAACCCCATGCTCTCCAAGGGCAGTGCTTCCTGGTGGGCCATTTGACTTTGCACTGTTGGGCACCCAGAAGGTGCATCCTCCACATCTCCCAGGCACATCCCATCTTTCTAGATGTGTGCAGATGCTCTGCAGAGCCCCATTAACCAGGTGAACTGCTAGAAGTGACACAAGGATGTTGGTAGGCAGGAGTTGTTTCTTAGTAGTAGAGCCCCCACAAGCAATGACACCTGTTTGGATGGGAAAGCAGTGCCTGAAGCCAATGTTTTGGACTGTTTGGGTTTGTTTGCAAAGCTTTCATGTGGGAAGAAGAGCTGCCACTTGGGGTATGGCTGGAGAGTGGAGTCAGTGCTTCCAAAGGAAGTGATTTTTCAAGCTGTCCCCTCATCAGAGAGTCAGAAAATAAATCCAAGAGGGTCCCTGTTCAGAAAAATTTGAAATTATTCCTAAATTATTTTAAATTATTCCTAAGTGTTGAAGAGGTTCCCATGGCCCTAATGGGCTGTGTCATCCTGGCACTGCCCTTTCTGTGCTTCTGTTCCTGCTTGTGGAGTGCTGGAGCAGGCACCAAGGATGGTGGAAGTTTAAATTGCCTTCAAATGAGCATGAAACTGCTTTTGTGTGTGAATTCTGATGAAGGTTTGGGCTTTCTCTCCAACTCCAGTTTAATGGAAATGAAGCAATTTCACAGCAGCAAGCATTAGGAAACTTCTCTCTTGATTGTTTAATCTGGTGCGCTGGGATAACCTCTTTTAACTAAACAAAAATGCAGTTGAGATGCTGCTTATTGGAACTTATAATTAACTTGGATTTCTGGTAGATAGATCAGGTCCTGACTGGTAACTTAATGCAATCACAAAATTACAACTGCCTGAACAGACCGATCTGGTTTACCCGTTTCTGCCTGGCTCACCATAGGTCTGATCTTCCAGATTCCATCTTCCCTGGGGAAAAGAGGGAGTTAGGTGACTCCTTATATCAGTTTTAAGGGTGGTCTTTGCTTGGAAACTTACTCATCTAGTGTAGTAAGCAGAATTCCCTCTGGTTTAGTTTCTTTCAAGTGTTGCTAAACCCTCAGCTCTTTAAGCACTGGGGGAGCTGTTGTTAAATCAGTGTTGATTGGTGGTGAAATTGATTTTTATGGTGTTGGTTGTCTGGGCTTTCAAATCACAAGTCAGTTTCTTCTCCCTCCTCTGGAAACACACAGTTATTTCTTTCATCTTCCTGCACTTCTCTAGAATTTGTAATCTCAGTCATCAAAACTGTATTGTATGAAAGAGCTCTCGCTCCTTTGAAGCATTTGGGATTGCTGGACATTCACTGCTGTTCACTGAAGCTTCATTAAACCGAAAGAGAAAAATTAAAATCTTACCACGACAGATGTTTTCATTCATTGTAAAAGCTGAGACTGATAGTTTTACCTAATCACAGGATTTCAAATAGTCAGGGGTCTAAAATAAGTTTTGCAGGAGCTGATAACGACAACCATAGGACCAAACCACTGACCTTAGCAGATGATGAGGATAACATTCCTAGGTTTTTTATGCCTAAAGATATCAACCCATTCCTGAAAACTCATAGCCTGGAAGAATGTTTTATTTAGAGAGGCAGCTCCTTGGGCTGCTGGATACCATCTCAGCAGCTGATGTGCCGGAGCCTTGCTCTTGGCTGGCTGTAGGAAACAAGACACAGGTGACACAGCGGGTGACACAGCGGGTAACACAGCGGGTGACGCAGCAGGTGACACAGCAGGTGACGCACAGGTAACGTCTGTCTTTCCCCACCGCAGGCATTCGTCCTTACAAGTGTGAGGTTTGCAACAAGGCCTTCACGCAGCGCTGCTCGCTGGAGTCGCACCTGAAGAAGATCCACGGCGTGCAGCAGCAGTACGCCTACAAGCAGAGGAGGGACAAGCTGTACGTGTGCGAGGACTGCGGCTACACGGGCCCCACGCAGGAGGACCTGTACCTGCACGTCAGCGGCGTCCACCCCGGCAGCGCCTTCCTGAAGAAAACCTCCAAAAAACTCGCAGCCGTTCTGCAAACCAAACTCAGCCCCGTCCTGCAGAGGAACTCCAAAGAGGACGGCAAGGACGAGTGACACGGGGACTCACGGCGCTCAGCAGGAATGAAGTTTACATGTAGGACTACGTATATTATTTTTTTAAGAACAGTTTTGAAAGGAACACCTGAAATTAAAGGGATACTTTTGTTAACGGGACTCTCTTGATGTTGATAAAACTTCAGCTTGACAGAAATATTCCCATTTGTGATGGAAACATCAGACTTTTTTTTTTTTATCTGGCCAATAAAAACGGAATGCTTGCAAAGGCTGTCACCTCTCGGATGGAGTATTTACTGAACTGACATTTGGGCAACCTGTTTTCTGTTTCAGCTCTGCCACAGGTCTGAACACCCCTGACAAATGGGTTCACTATTCCGCACTGTATTTGTTTTTTGTAAAGTTAATAACTGCTACCTCCCATGCAAATTACTTATGAGAGGTTTGGGTGAAAAGTGTTGAGTAAGAGTGCTACTGGTGCACGGTTGTATGCAACATTAATTGAAGTGCCTAAAGAACAGGAGTGCATTATATCAGCAAATGAGCTACAATGTGCAAATACCCTCAGCTCTGCCCCCTGTGTAGTCTGCCTACAATTTTTGGAAGTGTGATCCAAGGTGAGTTGAAACTCTTCCCAAAGGATGCAGAATGTTTTCTTACCAAAGTTTCTCTACTAGCAAATGACATTATTTTAGGGCAGACCTTTGGTTATATCTTAAGTACTTGAAGCCATGAACTTGCTTTTATCATGTTGATATATAAGTGAAATCTTAGCTCTGATGTTCTTGGACTTGCCGTGCTCACTCTGAGGATTATTACCACATCCTTTTAACATACACCTATAGCAACCCAGAAACCCAAGGAAAGCACTGTAATGACTTGAAAATAAGTATTTTCTGTCATGATGAGATGCAATTTTGTGTATATTTTATAGTGTATGTGTGTGTGTGTTTGGGTTTTTTTTTTCCTCTTTTATATTCAAGTGCTGTTCATTAATACAACAGTGTGGTGGAAAGGGGGACTGAGCCTGTGTCTGCTTTAGGAGATCAGTGCAAAGCTGCAGGCACCAATCTGGCTGCTCCTCTCTGACCACTCTAAGTGTAGAAGGCTCCTCCCACCTAAAATACCGTCAGGCTTAGCCAGGACTTTCACAGTCATTGCTGCTAAAATGAGACATTTTGAGCAACTTTACAAGAACTGTAAAAAAGTCTTTTCAACTTGCTTCAGTTTTGTACAGGCACCTGATTGGATTCTTGTGGGGAAAAGATTCTAGGGGTCTTAAGACACTCTTAAGGATATTAATGCTTTATTCAGCACAACTGCTGGTGCTTGAGACCTTGAAAATGAGGATAATAAAGTGATGCTACTGTGTTAAGAACAAGCATCCTATATAGCAGGGAAGTTTGTAACATACTTTAATAAAGGGGAAGTTGCTGGGGAAAAAAAGCATCTGAGGTAAATTAAAAGATCCTGACTTTACAGAAAGCTAAAGCTTGTACACCAACCCCCAGGTCTTATAACTAAGCAGTGTAAAGAGAAGGTTGCTCACTGCAATGGGATTAATGTTCACATGCCACTGCATGGAATTTGTGTGCTCAGCTCTGCTGAAACCTCAGCCCTTCTCCTGGTACAGCAGAGTTGGGGCTGAAACCCTTCCTCTCCAGCCAGAGACATGTTTGGTGGGTGTACCTGTGTGCATGGGTTGGTTTTTTATCCCTCCTGCACCACATGTTGCTTTTGCTCTCCCTCCAGTGTCACTGCCACAGCACATCCCTGCTGACACAGGCACAGTGAGGTGCGCACAGAAAGGATTCACAAAAGAGAAAGTGAGCAGGTAGCAGGCCACAGGGAAAAAGCCATCCTGGATGGAGAGCAAAGCCCTAGGAAGCTGGATGTCAGAGCTGAACTAACTGCCCTGGCTGCCCAGCAAGTTTTTCTGCAGAGGATAGACACTGCCCGTAGCAGTGCCCTGGGCACATCACTTGAACAGCCTGGCAACTTAATTGAAACTGGTCACAAAGAGTGTTTGGGTTTGGGTGACACTGGTGACAGCCACCTGCCAGTCCTGTTACAGGACAAACCAGCTTGTGCTGCTCCAGAAATGCTCCACAGCTCAGCCAGGGATGCCCAAGGCAGCAGCCAGGCTTTCAGAAGTGCCAGACACGAGTGACTCCCACCACTGCTGTCTTTTGAAGGCTGTCTGCCTCCTCCCGGCTCTCCGAGGTACAGACTCAGCTGGGACTTGGGTTTACAAAGTGGCTTTGCTGGCAGCCTTCCTCAGGCACTCCTTCCAGGGATTCTGGCTGATTTTCTTGAAGCTTAGGGGTTGGTCATAATTTTATTTGTAAGCTGCAGTGTTACTGTGAAAACTCATACATACAATTCATAGAAGACAAAGAGAATGAGAAAAAAAGTTTTCCAGAGCAATACTGCCTGATATGATCAAGGCTTATTCTCTGCTTTACAGACTTGATTTTATTAGCTTCAAAAGTAAAAGTTCTGATTCAAAACATTTATTCACAATCTTATTTGGAAAAAACAAACAAACAAACCAAAGAGGAAGCCATAACAAACAGCCTCCAAAACCCAACCAGCAGCTCTTCACCCCTCAGAAGGCCCTGCTTCACAGCCACAGGCCTGCTGTGATACAGAAACTCACTCACGTGGCACTGGGGATCGTTCTTGGGGTGGGCTCCTTGTTGGCTCAGACCCACAGTAGAGTCAGGAGAGCTCAAGGCAGTGGCAGCACAGAGCTCCCAAGGCACACAGCCCATCTCACAGTGCTTTTCTGTGGGCTGGGTGTTAAAACACCTGCAGGAGGAGCCACTAGCAGCAGCCAACATTCCCACCTCTCAGAACACTCGCTGGACATTTCTGGGAGTGTTGGCTCCAATTCTGCTCCTCTCTTGCTGAGCCACTTCTGCTAAGTGGCCACTTTGCTGTACTATTCTAAATAAGAACTAATGAGGACTTTAATTATAACTCTCAGGACAGGTTTTCCAGTTGTAGCTGTAAGACAAACCACAAATGATAACAAGCCTGATGATGGCATGAGCAAGAACTGACTGAAACCCAGTCTACTATATTAATTTCTTTATCATTTGCATTTCTCTCAGCTTATACATGTTGTTTTGCTTTAGTTCACCAACTTCATATTTAAAGACTGAGTTCTGCAACTTTTTTGGTCCTCAAAAATCACAAATGAAAGATGATCTGATCAAGCAGTTTTACTCGATAGTAGGAACTTTTCTACCAACCCCAGGCTGTATAAACTGTGGGATAAAAAGACAGACCAAATAAGTTGGGCTTTTCTGCCTGGACCACTGAGGTCACCTACAGTATAAGGAAATAGATATTCCCCATTTGAAAGTTACTTGTATTTTTGGGAGGGGAGAGAAGAGAGCTAGTAAGAAATTGGCCAAAGTTACTCAAAAAAGAACATGAAAATGGTACATTTAAACAAAAGGTTCTTCCTTTGTGTCTGTGCTCAGGCCAGTAGCTTGTGCTTAGTGTGGGTCAGTTTTTGTCCATGTACTCCTCCAGGCGCAAGAGCCACTTATTCCAGTAGTGAGAGCACAGGTCAGGATCCATGAAATGTGGGTGTGCCGGAGAGCCGTCCTTGTAGGCAACCACAATGAGCCCACAGCGAACCTGCAGCACAAACAGGGCGCTGTCACAAACACCACATTTGTGTGCAACCCTAAGAGCCAAACCTCACTGCAAAACATCTTCCTAACATACACATCTCACATCAGAATAAAAAGGGAAAACAGCTTACTGTAAAACACTTGGAGACTTAATATTCAAATGCTCAAAAAACCTCGAGCCCAAAGCTCTGAGTAACTCCAGTGAAAACCAGGGACATGAACTCTGAGGATGAGTGATACTTAAACCCTGCAGATGCCAGGAAAATTGCCAGAGACTGAGGAGTTTTTGCCTGGGGCCATACAACCAGACTGATGCCACTCTCCAGCTTCAGTCTGAATAGAAATGGTTACTTAGGGTATTTTCTGACATCTTTCATACCTGACAAATCCCAAATCCTAAACAGCCACTGGCAGTGGGGGACAGGAAGCTATTAGCAGAATTCCAGCCCATATTTCACTCTGTAAGGATCATGTCTGTGGACTGCTTGTGTTCATTGATCTCTACAATATCCTAGAAAGTCATTTGCACATCATACAAATTAACCTGCTCTCTTCTGCTTATTTTCCCACTTCAATACTTGTACTGAGGTAAAAATCCTTCAGGCCAAGCAGGCAGGCTAGAATTGCTTTTGGAGTCTTTAAAAACATGATTCCACCATTTTCTGATGCAGTGATTCCTAACATATTGCTCCTCCCTGAAGAAACACAGTACAGCTTCCAGACACCAAGTGCATCACTTAGTTCCTCATTTGCTAGTGGGACACAGCAAGGCAGGATGCAGGCAAGATCCCCCCATACTATTTTCCTGTTTGCAGGTTCTTTTATTTCCTCTCCTGCCCCTTCCTACTCTTGACACAAGCCAAAACCACACAGGACAGAGCACAGGGGATTGCCCAGATGCCAAGTCCCAGGGAGTTCATCTGAGCATCTCTTGGTCCCACTGAGCACTTCCTTAAAACCACTGAAAATTCACTACTGGCAGCCAAGGGCAGCAAGATTAGCAGGAGTAGTGGAATTATTTGACAGTATGACATCTTAACCTGATCTCAGACTGGGCTCTTTTGTTACAAATCCTACCAACGCTTCCACAATGGGCAGCAGGTTCTAAAGGCAGGAAGAAATGAAGACCACATAGGCATTGCTGCTTGTCTTGGCATGCAGCAGGCCTACTGACCTGGAAGTCATAATTGGCATCATGATTTATGGCTCCAATATACGCTGCAACCTGTAATGGGTTGTCATAAGTATTCTGAAGAAATGGCTTTGGCTTCTCTGATGTTTTCCAGTCAATCACACAGAGTTGGTTCCTGCACAGGAGAACAAGGCAGGACAATGGTTCAAACTTAAGTTTAGTCACAAGTAGGAAATAAGTGAGACAGCACATAAAGACTTTTCACTCTCAGCCTGTTTCCCCCTGATTGCTCATTATTGTGACTAAACAAGTCTCTTTCACACAGGCAGTTTAGATCCTAAAAACCAAACTAAAACCAACTAACTCAAACCCTCCGCAGCTCCTGGAAAATGCTTAAACCCGTCCCTTCTTCTGTAGGGAACTCCCCACCAGGAAAAACAGCATTTCACGCCGTGAGGATCATCCAGGGGAGTTCCTCCAGCCTGCCAGTCCTAGAGATCTGTCCAGCTTCCCCCAGCCACTCAATCACACCCTGGCCTCCACGGCACCACATGACAGGAGTTTTAGGGGAGGGCACCTCACCGATACTTGGCCACGCAGTCAACCAGGCCCAGGTACTGCAGGGTCTCATGGTGAACTCCACTTTCCAGAGCCTTCACCTCGCTGATGTCTTCCAAGACATGTTCCACACTGGATAAGTAGCCAGCCACAACATCATCTCTACCCTGGTCCCTAGCTGCTGTCTCTTCAAGCAGGAATATCGATTCCAAAGCTGAATGAAAGAGCTCTCCTTGGAGAAAAAGATCTAAGAAAAACGGGAAAACCCCCTCACATTTTAGACACTACTTTAGATTTGTATCCTATATATCCCACAATGTAGCTCTTAAATCAGTCCTGGTTTTTGTAATGAAAGTTTGAGGGTGTGGGGAGAAGGGAAAGAAACAGAAAATAAATTATCAATAGGAAGTCGGTATCCCTTCTGTTAATGCTTCCTTTACTGTTTTAGTCTCACTGCTTACTCATACATACACTGGATGAACCAAACAGTTACCGAAAAACCTCACCATAAACAGAAGAACACATTGGTTTTTATCCATACATTCACTGGATAAACCAAACAGTTACTGAAAAACCTCACCATAAACAGCAGGACAAATTGGTTTTTAAATGCTCAGGACTATAGGAGTTCAAAATACCTATTTCCATCTTGTTACAAAGTAGCTTTGTAATTGCAAAGAGGCTCAGTAACATCATCTGGAAAATACCTATTTCTAAATAGATACTGGCAAATCGAGAACTAAAGGAAAGTCAGACAGGATTGAGCAAAGTACGCCTACAGCCTGACTCTCATTTTCCACAAATTTATAAATCCACCTTATTGGCCCCAGAACAAAGACCAGAGCTTAGGCTCATTGATAACAGGTACACTCACAACATGCTCTCATGAAACAGAAGCAACTTCATGGATTTCCAAACCACTTGGCCCATCGTACCTGCCAGCAATCCAACCTACTGCTTCTACTCTACAATCACATTGTGGCTAGACTTACTTTTGGTATACTCTTCAAATCCCTCTTTTCCAAGCTCCTCTATCATTTTCTGCTTCCATCTTTCCAGATAGAAGATTTGCTGTGGGGAGAGGGTTTGTTGAAGGATGCGGGTAACACTGGGCATCTTCATTCTTCGTAACCCGATTTTCATAGGGATATTTGAATCACTGCTGGCTGGAATAATTCTCTTGCTGGGGTTTATTAAAGGAAACCAATTCTTGGGAGTTTTTGTCCCAGCTTTAACTGGAGGTGTGTGTTTAGCTGGTGGCCCATATAACAAATTGTCTTCCTCAAGTATTGTCTCTGGTGTTTGGGCGCTGGTTTTATAAGATGTAACAGAGTGGACCAAGTTCTTGTATTTTTCTTGGTCAACTTGTTCATAACCGTTTCCTTTTTTCTTTTTGCTATAAACACATGCAGAGGTAGACAGACATGTGTATGGGAATTGTTTTTGGCAAAATGGTATTTGAAAAAGCACTTCCAGGCTCCCTGGTTTCCTGGACAGAATCTGTAAGAATTGCATCCTGACAAGAAGCGTTTGTGAGCAGTTAAGAGTTTTCTTCCTTCTGTCAGCAACAGTCTGGGTTACCTTTTTCCTGTGGAAAAAGAAATTTGTGATTTACAGAGCCATGAAACTCTGCCACCCTCCTATTCTTGCCCTTTGCCAAACAAAGAATTGCTATGACCAAAGTGTATTCATTTACCTTTTACCACCTCTATTCTTCAGATAAATAAGATAAAAAAACAATGAGTGAGGAAAAGAGGAAATGTTCCTGAAAGGAACTGCTGCTGGCCTGCCAAATCTGAAATCTGAAGCACTTGGAGATTTGTTGCAAGTAGCTAAAGTTGCATCACAGGACATCCCTACAGCAACAGTATCAGAACTGCCATGGAAGTAGGCACAAAAACCAGATCTGCCACGAACAGCCCCCAAAAGAGGGAGGGGGAAATAAAAGCTACACAGAGGTCACTGAAGCAAATTATTGCTGTGAAGTATGAAAACTCTTAAGTTTATAGAGAATGACTAACTGAAGGAGATTGTGGGAACAAGGTACCTTATAGGGTATCAACCCACGATTTTCTTTTGTGTCCCCAAACAGACAGCAACAGTATATACAATTGTGATCTCCAGAGTTAAATTTAGTGCAACAGTGCTTCAGTGACTGGCATGAGTTTTGATTTACTAGCCTTTGTTGTGCTGGGGAATATACCTGTGGAATTTCCAGTACTTGTGGAAATGTTTGTGCAGTGTATGAACCAAACTACCAGGGAAGGGAGAGTTTGCCAGCTGCTGTCCTGCTTTACAAAAGGAAAGAAGTTCTAGGATTGTTAAGAAATAAGGAACCCTTGTGCCCTGCTGAGTAAAGATTCATGTGTTTTTCAATAAACCACTAAAGTGGCATTTCTGTGCAGGTTAACTTACAAGAAAGAAAAAGAGTGGTCGGGATCTACTCTTGTACACAAAGCACAGAATTTAACTGAGATTTCCCTCTGGGGAAGTGTCTCCTCTCTGAAAGCATTTGTGGTTGAAGACTGGCAGAATAGCTTCAAGTGTTACATGATGAGCCACAATGGAGAACTGAAAAAAAATTAAAATAACTTGGAGCTAAAAAAAAAAACCAAAAACAAGACAACTTTACTTTCCTAAGGAAGTTGTTGCAGCTCCAACAATAACTGAGCTAACACAACTGAGGAATTTTTTTCCGGTATAGGGATGAGTGGTTTAACTAAAGGAAATAGAAAGGATTACTTAAAGAAAAGTTCACTTATAAAAATCTACCTCCAGCTGTGATTTTGCATAATAACCAGTATGGCTTTTTCTCCATAGAAACCTATCCAGCTAAAAACAAACAAATAAACAAAACAAACAAACACACAAAAAACCCAAAAACCAACCAAACAAAAAACTAAAAGCTCTGGCTTATTTCAGAGATAACAAAAAAGAACACTCCTAAACACACGTACAGACCTACTGTCCCTTGTCCCTATTTTGAGCAGAACAAATCCATTGATGAAGGTATAACTATGAGTTCCCTGCAGTTTTCAAAACACATTATTGAACCTATCCAGGTTAAAAATACACCTCCCTCTTTTGAGATATTTAGAGCACAAAGAGAGACAACTCAGCAACCCCGTTTAAAGCACAAGCCCACAGTTGTGGGCTTTAGTTCAGGGTAAACAGGCTTCAGTTCTCTGTTCAAGCTTCATTCCCAGATCAGCACTGGGAATGGAGTTAGAGGGGAATAGGGCTGTAACACGAAGTCAGCGCTCTGTGAAAGAGCTGGGCCAACACCAGTGACCACCAAGTGCCCTCAGAAAAACAAACCTCCTGCAGGTGCCTGAAAATTCCAGTGCCGGACAGCCCCGCCTTGTGCAGAGGGGGATAAGCCACTGTGGACAAAAAGCCCAGAAGCCCCGCCGGACGCGGGCATGCCCAGCCACGGCAGCGCTCGCTGACGGACCCGGGGGCAGTGCGGGCCAGGGGAGCAGCAGCGGGAGCAGCAGCAGGAGCAGCAGCAGGAGCAGCAGCAGGAGCACCTTCCCTCTCTCCCCTCCCTGGCCTGCCCTCGCCCCCAGGCCCTCCCGGCCCTCCCGGCCCGCGGCTCCGCGTTACCTCAGCCGCGCTTCCCGCCACCGCCGCGGGCGCCAGCGCGCAGGCGCACCCCGCCCGCCGCCGCTACCGTGCTCATTGCGCACGCGCTGCCCGCTGCCTCATGGGACACGTAGTTTTCCCGCACTGCTAGCCCCAGCCCTTTTTCTTTAGCTGGAGCGCCCCGAAAGGTGGCGAGAGGAACGTGTCTCCTCCATTTCACGCTTTTTTGGTGGTCTTTGAAAGTCTGTAAGGAAAACAACCCAAATCTTTAAATACAAGCCGAAAAAACACAGCGTTGTGGTGCCATCATGGGTGAGAGCAAGCAGCGCCCTGCCCTCGCCAAAGATGGCGAGTGCCCCTCAGGGGGTGTGGCGGCGGAGGCTCCGCCCGGGTTATATGAGGAGGAGGTGGCGGGAGGAGGAGAAAGAGAAAGGTGCGGGGTGGCTGTGTGCGCCCGGCGATATGGCTCTGCTCCGTGGGGACGCGCAGGACAAGGTGAGGGTGGCGGCCCGGCTCCGGCTGCGGCGGGCGGTGAGGGCGCAGCCGGGCCGGCCCCGCGGCGTGAGGGGGAGCGCCCTGCTCCTTCTGCCCTCGGCAGCACCGGGACACTGGCAGGTTTTTGCTTTTGGCTCCGTGTTGGACATTTTAAAAGAATGTAAGTCGCCTTAGTCCTCGTGCCTTTGGCGCGCCGCGGCCCCCTGAGGGCAGAGGGTCAGAGCGGCCGGGTGAGCGTGGGGGCAGCCCCCGAGGGAGAGGTGCCGGGGAGGATTGCAGCGGAGCGGGAAGGAGGAAGAGGAGGGCAGGGCAGGGCAGCTGCCGTGAGCCGGTGCGGGCTGCGCTCTGTGCCGAGGCGGGGCAGATGATAACCCGGCCCCGGAGCCGCGGGAGCCGGGCCTGCCAGGTGGAGGATGCGGGAGCCGGAGCTGGCCCCGGGCTCTGCCGGCGATTGCTGCTCGGGGTTAAGCTTGCTCTTCCCCGTGGGCCAGCTGCCCTGCTGTGTCTGTGACCGGCCTCCTGGCTGTGTGCTCTGCCTTCATTGGGCTGTCAGCTGCCGCTTCACCTGCCGTGTCCCTTTGCCTTGGTTGTCTCATCAGCAGCTCGCTTGGTATGCCTTTCTCCCGAGAAGTGTTGAAGCTGTAAGTGCCAAGGAGCTTCATGCCTTCCCTTTGAACCAGCACAGAGGATTTCCTAATGTTAAGACTCTCAACTTCTCAGAGGAAATGCAAGTGAAATGCTGAAACAGGAACTTTGTGAATTAATGTTTATGTAGTGTAGACACTGATTGGAACTCTCTCTTCTACTAGACGAGCTGCTTGGGTCAACCTACCCAAACTCCCGCGTTTAATAACTACCCTGAACACACCTTGAAAAGAAGGCAAGGCAGCCCTTGTAAGAGTCAGCAAGTTGCCTATTTGCCACTCATATTATCACATCTGCATGTGGCTTTGCATTGTGACTAAGCTTCACTGGCAGGAAGATGACTTTGCTTTAAGCTGTTAGGTGTGCTGAAAGTCTCTTCAGTCTGTGTTTTCTCAAGTTTTTTGAGGCATGTATATTAACTAACTTGGAGGCTAGAAATACAAGTCTTTATTGACTTCTGGACAATTTCCTTTTCCCTGCTTCTTTTCCGTATGAATCTTGTTTTGAAACAATCCTGAATCAGTAGGACAGACACGAGTTTGTAGAAGAAGCATTTTCTAGTAGCTTGCTTTGAGCTGTGAGCTGGCCAGTGCTTTCTTTTCTGCTGCCTGTGAAACTCTTTGTATAAAAGAGTCTGCCCTTGGAGAATACTAGAGAGGAAGGTCAAATATCAACTCTCTTGGAACATTTGGTAAATTTTGAGTGTTTATGTGCCCTTCTAACTCAGACAGGAATATTGGGGGGAGGGGAAAATGTTCTCGTGGTGGGGGCTGGAATAGCTTTAAACTCTGATGCTCGATGGACAAAGATTAGCTTGTTTTAGGTTGTAGGGCTGTCTTGGGATTCCAGCAGCATAGGGGGAGGATAAAAATGCTCCTATCTTGTCTGTTCCTGTTTAGGCAAAGAAACAACAATATGGAACTGGTGTGTGACCAGTAGATAAAACTCATGCCTGTAAAGGAAACTTCATTAGGTATTAACTTAAATAGGAGACACTGTTAAGTATAAACTAAAAACTAACCCTGAGGTGGCAAAGCAGGAGAGGATCAGGATATGTAGGAAGAGGAAGGGAGGGTAGGATAAAGGTGATTGAAAGTGCAGTGGAAAATAAGGTGTAATCTGTCATGGGGGAGGAAAAGGCATTTTAGAATTTGAAGTGAGTGGTGGGACTTCCAAGCCAAGCTTGAGTAAATACCTTGGTATTTCTTAATGTCAGTGGCTTCATGGTATTTGAAGGTTTTAGTCTGCGGTTGAAATGTTCTAGATCAAAATACTAAGAGCATGTATTGTAGCCCCTCTTTCTCAAAGCAATCAGTGGAAGACAAAGTGTTGTGTCATAGCCTGGGACTTGCTGTTATCATTCACAAATGGTGACTCTCCTGGACAAATTCTGCTGCACATTCTGGAAGGAATGAGGCCATACTAGATCTTGCCCGTGCTTAACCAAAAACCTGCTTCTGCATGCTGCTGAGCCTGAAATCAAGTGAGGAGGTGAGCTGTTAGCAGGGTGCCAGCTCCTGGACAGGGATAATGCACTCTCAAGGACACGCAGCCTCCATGGAGCTGGCCCAGCAGTTTGGGCTGGTGGAAGGTGAAGCCAGCCAGCATGGTGAGGCCTGCCACCAGCTCTGGCCTCACTGTAGGAGGTCAGCAAAGCATTCTCGGGGATGCTGACTGTGGCTTGGGTCTTGCTGCTGTTGCACAATTTCCATTTGAGCTGGGCCAGACTGTGCTCTACAAGCACACAGGGGCTGGGCCTGCATGGCCAAAGCTGTGCTTGGCTCCTCCGTCTGAGGAAGCCCTGGCTTGGGTGGAGGTGTGCTGCATGCTGCTGGTGGAACAGGGTGAGCCAGCAAAGCTTTTGCTCGGAATGTGGCATCCTTGAATGTTTATAGAGTCCTTCCCTCTGTCAGGAAAGGCGTGTAACCTGCAAGTTCCTGAAGAGAGTGATGCAGAGATCCCTCTGGCAGGACGGGGCCAGTTTATTGCACAGCCTGAGGCAACAGGTGCTCTGGGCCTTCTGCTTCCTTGGCAAGCATTGCACTTGCTGAGCAATGCCATTTCAGTGTGACTACATCGAGCTGTTATTCCCTCTTTATCTTTATTTTAAGCAAAATAATTAAACCTTTGCGTCACTGGAGTTCTTCAGTTTGAAGTCACAAATTTGGGAAGGCATTTTCCATGGCATAAGTAAGCAGTGCTTCAGTTTTCGTGGTTATGTGTAACCAGACCACTTCAGGGCTGTTCAGCTCAGTGTCAGTGCTGACAGCAAACTGCCACAAAGGCTGAAAAATCCAAGCTTCACATGTGCTCCATAGTGCTGCATGCTTGCAGTGTGCTTTCAGATGTCTTTTTAGTATCCTGATTGAAAGGAAACTTAAGCTGCTTGTGCTGAATATGACTAAAATGTAGTTCCAGCAGCTAATGCTACTGATATCTGCTGGCCAGATCCTCTGGTGGCTAATTCCTGGTTGTCAAAACAAGGCCCTCTGGAACTGAGAGCTCCGTATAACCTACCAGAAAACACCATGATCTTTTAGTGCTCTCTGAAGAGCACCTAAACAACTTTAATTAGAAAGCCTGCTCTGTAAAAAGTAATGTTTTTTAGGTAGTGGCAGATGTAATTACTTCTGCTTGAATGACAGCAGGGAGGTGATCAGTAAGGGGAGAAGGTTTTTTAAAGGTAGCTGACAATAAGCAGAAAACTCTGACATGTGAGCCCTTGTGGAAGGGCTTCTTACTCCTTCCAAGAGCCTGGCTATGTGGAGAACCCCTGGATTAATGTGTCTTTGAGAACAAATACATATTT